TTGTTTATCATATAACTGCTAGGAATGATGTAGAAATTCATAATGCACTTTAAAAAAAGAAAAAGAGGTTTAACTATTCGTTCAAACCAATTAATCACTTGTTAGAGATGCCCTATACCTGTGATATGAATAGTTACGACTAAATGACGAGTATCAACTTAACATTGTATGCTAAGTAACTAAAATTACCTATGGGGATTTAATTGTAAAACCTGAAAATAATGTTCTTTCTGAAATCTCCACAGTATTAGGAAATTATTGTTTCATTTTTTGCTAGACTCCAACAAAATGGAATAAAAAAATATTAATTTCACATCATATTTTCAATTATCGGAAAATCAGAATGGCGCCTGATGTTTTTCACTAAAATAATTTTCTGTAATTTGAGAGAAAAAAACAACTCTTTGTTGCCTCATTTTTTAACCAATACATCTGACACACAACTGTTTGAGGACTCACTCGGATTTTTTGTTATGATTATAAGGAAAATGATGACGTCACAAGTCGCTAGGCGATTCATCAACATGGGCCCTCTTTTTTCCAAGAATAAAAATCCACATTTGCTGAATGTCCCTATCATCTTTGTAAATGAAAGTGTCAGAATTCTTGCGATGGACGTCATGATACAACCAATCCTGCTCAGCTGATTTGGCGTTGTCAATTTCATCCATGGGCAATACGAAAACCTTCCCGGATGGGATTTTCCGAAACTAGATTCGAATTTAAACCCTCAGACTCACGGCGCCTCATTTGACAGAGAAACATCCAAATTCATAATTCCAAATCCCCCAAGATTAAAACGGGCCTTTCTTTCTATATCTGATTTCAGGAAAACATTAATATTTACAGCAGAATCGTCAGTATCTTTGTCAATTTGAAATTATAGAATCACTGTAAATTTCTGACGCGAGACGCAGTTTCTAAGATTAGGATTCGTGTTGCTTTTGCTTCATCTTGGAGGAAACGTCTTAATTTCTGTCAGAGAGGAGTAATCCATCATTATTCAAATTAAAAATACCAAAACAATGCTCATGCAAGAATAACAATACCTCGGTTTTTACATTGCTGCAATTGTCTCCCACTTAGCAAAACGTGGGAATACAATCATGTCATTTTCTTTTCGTTTTGTTTTATTAGTCGAGAATAGCAAACGGATATGTCGTAAATGCTATATTTTCTATTATACATTTTCCACATATATATATTATCAATTCATAGCTATGTAAAAGATGATTAAGAAGAGAATGTATATAAACGTCTCAGCAAAGATGGGCGAGGTATATTTTTATGATCGATTTGTTGAAATTTATTCCTGGAGTTAAAATTATTAGTTATTTTTTAAAATAATTTATTTATTAATATGAATATGATCTTTGAAAGCTTTGATAAGTTCGACCAAAACACAACACAGAGCCCTTGTCTGATGACAGGAAAACACATTTTCGATGAATTTTAAACTAACTTTCGAAGTCTGTACTTTCAGCTCAAATAATCTTATCCTTTTTGCTTTTTTAGCGTGCGGAAAACCCCTCCGTCGCATACCGGTGTTTTAAGTTCTCTTTCAATCTGAACGAAACGTAAGATTTCTTATACTATTAGAAATTATAGTTTCATGTCTTTGAGAAATACATTTCCGTAATCTTCAAATTGTCTTTCACAAGGCTTGAAAAATATTGTTTGAACGAACTAGGTAAAAGTTTCCATTTTCTTTGGATACAAACTAATTTGCATTCAATACTAAAGTGGTTATAACTATTCTACGATGACAACACTGTTCACTAAGAGTGATATATATTCGCTTTAGTAATTGAAAACAATGAAAGCGAATAATGCTTTAGTTCAAATTGTACCTTTATTTTACAAAGTGTATGAGACAATGTTTATTTATTTGTTAGTGAAATAGAATAGTCATTTGAAATGCCATCATCAGATTTATGATACATTAACAACATTCGTTATAAACAAATTAATATTTACATTCGAAAAAGATACTATTTCAATTTTTATTCCATTTCATATTAAACGCAACTTTATAAACAATGAATCCAATTAAACCCAGTCGAAACATTGATTATTTATTGCTCGAAATCAAACACTAAAACATATTTACTTATTTAAAACCGGTAATTTTGATTAACTTTTTTTTTTTCACACGAGTGACGAGGCTACCTTTGACGGCGAAACGGCATTATTTACTAGTGCGCATGGCGTCGGCTATTGTTTAGCGGAAGAAAAACTACCTAGGGTCAGAGTTCAGTAAACAAGTCATACATTTCCCTGTCAAATCACGGGCAAATTGTTTGGCTCGTGTCAACATATGATACGGTCCTGGGACCACCCTTACAACACAGATAACCCCCACCCAGAAGCGGGGAGCTCCACCCCTCTTTCATTTCCGACAGGTGTTTCACTAGGGGTGAGGTTTGTCTGCAGGGGGTTGGGGTGGGGCAATGCGAGGGAAATTGTAGGGTGATGGGGTCGCAGGGAGGGATATAAATGCTATTGTTGCAGCCAAAAATGTTACACGTGGTTGTTTGGGGGTTCACTTTACTTCTTGAATATATTGTAACACAACTATGATGACAATCGGTTGATGTTTATTTCTTGAAGATCGGTTGATAATGTTTATTTTGTCGTATTGTATTTCCACGTAATGCTGAATCTGTATACCAGAAGAAAACTCGTGAAGTATCAACTGCCTGCCCCGTGATATCGTCATACACAATACACAAACTGATGTGATCGTAAGAAGTTAATGAATATAACCATGTTTGTCTGGTGATAACGGTGTATTTACTTCTCATACCAGACGTTTATGATAACGGATAATGTGCATAGAAACTGGAAAGTTGCATTTTCTTTCGTTAAGTTTATGAAATTTCTTCTTCCTGTGTAGCTTTTTGAATGATGATGTTTTGAGCTTCTATAACCAATTTCATAACTGAATTATCCGTTTTAAGAGGACATGAGTTAGATTTTAATAATAAACAAAACCTACTAATATAAAAGGGTGCTTGGATCGCATTTGAGTTTTATTTCAATAATCGAAACTTTAAGGTCGTTTCAGATATTTAATATTTCCACACTTGGAAACATATTCTCGAAAGTCAGTAGTGCGCCTTGTTAGGGTGTGTTACATGCGAGGTCACAGGCACATTTGATCTCCAAGCAAAACGTTGTCAAATCTAATCAGTTGGCAAGTTCTGGAGTTTCATAATACGGGCAAGTTAAATAAGTTGAAAAATGATAACAAAGGGGAGACAAATTTAAGTTGAAGTCTGTTACTTGTGTCGCTGGAACTGTGAAGATTTAAAGATACAGAATCCCTTAACCTTTGACCTCTCCCGTTTTCGTCTATTTGCATCAAGCGAAACTGTCAGCTTCAATTTCTGAAGTTGTTTGTAACAATTTCCGTTTTAATTTGCACTCACCGCGGTAAAGGTGTTCCTTAACACGTGCCAATCCGTTTTTGTGTCATTCCAAATTTTTGTGAAAATTGTGTTTGTCAACCGCTCTAATTATAACACAAACATATAAGACACCTGACGTCCATTCGGATAATTTCTTAAAATGTTTCCGAAATGAATCTTAATTTTCTCACGCACACTTGATTCACCTGTTTTGTTTTCTGATCAGTATCGTGTTTTGATGTGTTTTGTGATCCGCGTTCGTTGATTGTCCACACTCATTGACCACACCGTTAATTACAATCCTGTCACCCTGCATGACTCGTGATATATTTCACAAGAATAAGGCCGAAAACAACGAAATATTCATTTTAGCGAAAACAATATGATTGAAAGTTATCTCGAATAGCGGTGCATGTTTTCAGAAGAAATCGACAGAGTTGACTGTGATAGTGAACATATAATAGTTATCATGGTAACTAAGGTTTTAGCGATTATGACCAATACATTTAGCTAACACATCGATAAAACGCTGTGGGTATTTTCTAAGTTAATATTAAGACAACTGGATCTTAACCGCTCAGTTTAAGTCTCTCTCAAATAATAAATACTTTCACAAATACGAGGTTTTTTTAACGCTCATAGTGATGTAGCTATTCAGTTTTGAGAATTATACAATCAATCAGTTAACTAACTCTATTCATTCAGTATTGTAGGTCGAAGGCCCGTCATACAATGATAATGCGGGGAGTAGCAGACTCATGATCAGAGCGCAAATTTGTTTCCAACACACATTGCTTTATATATATGTACGTAGATAGGTTCCAGACGATGTATTCGTTAGTGTAAAATTGTGTCTAGTAAAATAGATTCAATATCTTGGTGCTATAGATTATCTGGTAAATTCACAAACTGTTTATTTTTAAAAATCTATTTATACGAATTGTCTTATGTGGACTCATGGAGTTACAATGTTGAATGAATAGTGGGACAGTGTTACAATTGATAGAGCTGATACGTGTGGACATAGATGTTATGAGTATTGTTTTCGATCTAAATTGCAGATTTAAAATTATATTAAACTCAAATTTACTTCGTAAGACATTCATTTCATAGATTTCTTGCAATTATTCTAACTCTTATGTGATTCGTCGAAAAAGACAAATTGTATCACAAAAATTCCAGTTTTGACCAAAAATTTCAAAGAAATATACTTTATGAACAAATTTCAGAAATATTCTTTAAAGCGTTTATTTAAAACCGTTTTTCGTTTTTTAGTTCGTCGTCGATATGTGACACATAAAACATTTGAAATTGACAAATCCTCACATACACATGCATGCGCGCACACACAGATTGCCTCTCCTGTACACCTTCATCCGCACTGTCTGTCATACGTAGCCCGTCCCCACCCGCCCCTCCCCCCGCGGTCAGACTCTACCGGACGGGTAGGAGTAGCAGAAGTCCTCATTAAAAATGACACAAGGTTTTGTGTGAACCCTAGGGCCCCCTAATGTTGAGACACAAGTCGCTAGCGAGCCTTGACGTGTGAAATCTATCTTCGTCAAGCAGTCGCTTTTTAACCAAATGAATCGCAATATAAAAGTTGTGACCACGCCTAAACTTCGCGACTACAGTATCTCGTGGAAGTGAGGGACGGGCAGCTTTGCCCCGGGGTAGGGGGATAACGGTTTGGATATACTAATGGGTGATGATTGAGGTAATTATGCGTACTCTATCTCTCACCTTTGTCTCCATGCATATTGATTAGGTTTCGCGTAACATATCTCAAATGTGCCGATGTCCTTCATTTCACTTGGAGCACGTTGTAAATGTCTTTTTCTTGTTTCAAATGAGTTTATTCTTTCTTGAAATTCGTACGTGAAATTTTATTACCTTTATAGATTTCATTGAATTTGATATCTGTCCAATTCATCCATGCTACTTTCGTGAAAGTGTATCCATTGCGAATTATTTCCGAGACAATGTATATATAAATACTCAACACCCCGACATTTTACTAGTTTTACGAGCGTGTTCAAAGAAAGATGATGATGATGATGATGTATTTAGGTTACAAGATACGTCTGTATATCAAACGAATATTGAAGTTTACGTTGTTTTATAGCTACATCCATCAGTACTATACTACTCAATACTGTAGACCAGGATGCCTTCACAGTATCTTTTGCCATTTTATTCTTGTATTCTTATTTGCATACTTTCTGTAGTGAAGTTCAACATAATTGCATAATCAACGAGGTGACATAAAAGATAGCTAATCATTAAAACGATATGTGAATATCGAACTTACGAATTCACATTCACGACAAACAAATACACATATTAATGTTAATTTATCCATGTAAATACATGTATAATAGACCTTGTAACAGACGAATTATACGCCTGTGACAGAGTCGATTAATATTTTTTGTTACAACTCGGTGTTGCAAAGATGAAGAATGAAAAACAAAATTATAGATAGTGATTATCGGATTTGTTAATTGATTAATTGAACATTGGGGGGTTTGTGACATGTTTATGTCAAATTATAATGTTAGATCAGTATTGATTCAGCAACACCAGATAGTTGTAAGAAAAGAAATCCAACTTAGGTACGTGATTGATTCGTACATACAGCCGATTCATCATTCCTTGAAACTCCAAACATTCAGATCGCTGGAAATGTCATATACATGCCAAACACAGTGTTTAATCAACGGATAAAAATGAAATCATCTACTCTATCTTGTTGTTATTTCTATAGAAATCAGGAAAACTATTAATATTTAAGTGTTTTTGTACTTTCGTTAATAATTACATATTTTGAATTAAACTAATTGCATAATATTTTTATGTGAATACACCAACGGTTTACATTGTGTTTCTCACAAAGAAATGTGACCCTGGAAGTCACAGCAGTTTCAAATACGACACCCAGTTTCTTTTCTCCAAAACAAATCAAGTACCCGAGTTAAAAAAGACGATTGTCGTGATCCACCGGAGCGTAATGTCCACATGCAGTGACTTTGGGACTGCTTCTAAGGTATCCTTCGTATTTTCGTCAAATGATATTTAGAAAACAAACAAAAATATTAGCTTAAGCCCCGAGGCATAACACCCAGCTTTCCTCGGTCGATGCACATATCATTCCTCTGGTCCACTTAATTAATGTTCATTCTCTGTGAATGACCTACCCTGCTATTTCCAGTCTTTAAAGATGGAACGTGTTTTTATTTACTCAGGAAAAGGATCTTCTTTGTCGAAGATTTGTATAGTGAATACAAAGCTATCCACGTAAGACACAGTATCGGGGCTTTTATTCACCCAACAGTAAACTGATCCTAATATATTTAAAGAAATAACAAGCAACTCGCTTCCCCGACCCATGTAAATTAACCCTGGTGAACTATCGGTTAGGGGGAATCATTAAAATGTAAAGGAACCCTACCACTATTGTTAAACTGCCAGCCATGCGGCGTTCTCGATACCCGAAAAAGATTCCGCTTTTAATTACATTGTATATCGAAATTCATATTTACATAGGATATTCTGGCGTCAGTGTCTATCCCCTCGGGGTATGGTTTAACAGACGTACACCATGTCGAATTTGTCACTACAGGAATTCTCCCAAGCTGTCATTTGTGAGCCTGAGGATTGTGGTAATGGGACAGCATGTTACAGTCATGGTCGACCTGATCACATGTCACCTGTCACGTGACCAGGTCACGTGTACGCCCATCCCATGGGCACATCACATTTTTAGTATGACTAATACGCTATATGTCTAATTATAGCATTGTAATTGATATTTGAAATATTTAAAAATTGATCATGATCTGACATGTTGATATTGAAATTTTGTTCAAAGATTGCCTAAAGAAACGCTGGAAGCTAAATTTCAAAACTGAGCTGATCGTGCTCCAGTTCTTTGTTTAATTATTAAAGTTTAAAAACAAGGAATTACAGATTATTTTGATAACCAAACATATTTGAACAGAACTATCATAGAAGGGACATACTCATGAGGGGTCGTTATATATATGGCCCACTCCTGTAAGTGAAATCACAAATTTGTATTTGTCAGTTAAATAGCAACATAAAAAGCAATTTTAGGTCTCAGAGTAGTTGATTTATACAACAAACTTAATGTTTCTATGTCGTGTACAACCAGCTAACCTTTAAAATACAATGAGGATACAGACAGGGTAAAAACTCGGCACATAGGTGTCCTGCAAGGATCCTATCTATACCCTCGTCTCTTCATTCTAATTACAAACAGTTTTAAACAAAAACGATTACGTGCATAAATCCTGTAAATGTACTCTCACAAGTGATAACTAACACGAAACATTTAATGAAAATGTCACTTATAAAGTCGGACCTTTAATTCATATTGAAACGTGTTTGCGTTCATTTACTGCGTCTTGATCTGTAGTGTTTACTGTCGGTGAAGCCTTCTCAAGGTAAAATATGAACTCTTAAGTTACTATATCATTTTTTCGAGTCCTCAACACACATCTGTAAATCATGTTCTGGGCCTTGACACGTAAACGGTTAAATCCGGGGATTAAAAGGGAATATATAGTTTTTAACACATTAGAGTATATCCTGGAAACATCCCTCAGCTGTCAAATGGGGTTTTCTATTTTCTGTTTGCCCCACTGTCTATCCATAACCTTATCTTCCAGCTGAAACTGTATCGATGTACCCTCCCAACGAAACCCGAGGAAAATAAATAATACTTAAAAATGGGATCTGTCAATGATGTCCCTTGCAAATTCTGTAGCCATGACAAACTGATAAACTGACTAACTCCTACCCGTTCAAATCCTACCAGCGTTTGCGAATGTTCGTTTTTTCTCTCTCATCTGATATCAAATGGACGAAATCGTACTCCCAACACGCATTCATATCTTTAGTTGAACATGGTTACAAAAACAAAGATATCTTTTATTTGATTACACAAACATTACTTTGAACGACACAGATACATGATGCATTAATGAGGAACCAGTGGATATGTCTTGTCTGGGTCACAAAACACTGCTGTGGTTGTGTACGCTTATCTTACAGTCACGAATAAATTGAAAACTGATGGGTGACCAACTTTAAGACGTATCGAAATATTTCACTTTCTGTCGACATTTTCCCTCATCTAATCTACTTCTATGGCGAAATATAACACATGCAACACAAGACACCTGATTAGGTTGATTGGTTGATCGTTGAAAGCGTTGTAGGTGTTCGGGCAACTGGGCCATTTACACACTGCCTGTAAGTAAGGTTTGCTACGAAATGTCCTAGAAATGTCATAATGTAGCTAAACTTACCACACGCTGTAATATAAGCAAGAATGACATTATGAACTTCACATCGAACGGTATTCCCAGAACATAATAGTCCAGCCAATGAGATGGCAGTAATAAGAACTGTAAGAGACTCCATCATTGGCATTTACATATTATTGGCAGTGCATTAAATAATGAGCCACATTGTCTTGTTGATTACACACTGTACAATGTGAAGAAATGTCTTTATTAATAATATTGAGATATGCACCAAGACCACAATGGCCAAGACGAAGTCTGGTTAAGAGAACCTCTTGTCTCCAATTGTTTCGAGATATTTGTAATTTAGTAAAAAATGGCTCCATGCCATAGAGTTGGCGTCCTTTTGAGGATGATGCCCATCTCTGTTGCCATTTTGCTTCGGCATGGATCTTACTGACGGTGCCTAATTCTGCAGGAGAAGGTGATATTGTTTCATCCTATTCTGACTCATATTGTATCCCACAATAACATAAATGTGAAAAACTCCACGGTTTCAAATATCTTTAATCACCATACAGAATAGAGCTCAAAACCTTCCCAATGTGTCGTTGTCATTTTACTATCATTAATAATACATTCACCACTAAATTATAACCAACGACACAAATTCAAATGGGGATAATTCACTCACTCACTCACTCACTCTTTTTTTAAAGGAAAGAGAGGCTACAGACACAACTTATCCCACAATAAGACTACAAATCCGATTTTTGACAAACATACATTATCGACATATTTCAATGACTGTCAGTTTGTTCTATTACCAAGTATAGGCCTCTCAAACACATCCTATAACACATTTGTCATTACGTTACCATTTATCAACACGTAAATGTCATGGCTCAAACACTTGTACATCGATTTGGAGTCATACCCCTAAGATATATCCTACGGCTGACATGACCGACCACAAACCCGTATCTTGATACATCCATTCGTGCAAACATACCCCCAACACTCTCCCGTACATACGCCTCACCTTTTCTTTGAGACATTTTACCTGCGAAGGACGCGGCATAAAGAACACTTCTAGAAATCCCCGATGCCCCCAAGTCTTGCTAGGTAATTGTATTTTGTCGCGAAATCCGATAACTACTGTTTAACACCATCAGATAGAACTGCTCATCAATTACCGTTATCATTCATCATCAGCAAATATGACAGGTACCTGGGTCTAACAACACTTATCTCCCTTGAAACTGCAACTCTTCAATCACGAGAGATCCTTTTTTGAGAGCAGAAGTATGTTTCTGTTGTTTTCTCACGCCGATGAGGTTGAAGAAAGTGGTGAGAGACCACATACTAAGTCCATCTTGGCCTTCCTGAGTGTCGGTTTCACACGTCAAACATGTTATTTCAAATCTTTCGGGATCTCCGTTTCTCG